GGGGACGGGGCGCGGGTACCCGCGGGGATGGAGGGATGCCGAGGGCCGGGGTCATTAGAGAACGCGCGTTGGTGGGGAGGGCCCCCGGCGCGGTGCTGCCGAGGATCCTTCAGTCATTGCAGCCGTCCCCTTTGCCAGGTTGGAGGGGAAGGCGGAGAACAGAGAGTTGAATTCCTCTCTGCCCATTCAAACCGCTAGGACGGCCCTTGGTTTTTCCGGGGGAAGGACGTGAAGGTGGGGGGCGAAGTACCTGCTGCTGTGGGCAAAGGTGTCTGGAAGGGGGTGCCATGGGAGGGTGGGGGCAGGGAGCGTGCAATGCCGTAAGTTGACAGCGAGCCTTCTGCTCTTGCTGTTGGCCTGACAAGCACCCTCTCTTGTCTTCATTAGAAGGGACCTGGCTTGCTGTAAGGGTGTGCAACGGATCAACGTGGGGAAATAATTATTGGGGGAAAGAAAGGAGGTGAAAAACATGGCATGGGAGAAGCACATTTGTCAGGGTCTGGTGGGAATTAAGTTACTGTTGAAGCATCTGATAGGTCTCCCCTTCTGCAATGAAGGTGAAACAATTTATGGTTTGGAAATGAAGAATGCAGAAGAGGTTTAAATATTCCAGTGTTAGCAGAAGTTTAAGGTGTTGGGTTTTTTTTGGGTGGGAGGGGTTGATGCATCAGACACTGGCAAGAATATAATTCTCATTTCAGCACGGAAAATGTTATTAAAATATGGCTAGGTAGATTAGTTGGAAGAGTCTAACTATAGTTGCTACTTCATTTTATATAATGTTAACATAGAATATCTGCAGTCAGAAATCATCTTTGGGTAATAAACATTAGTATCAAGCAAGGAGGAAAGCCAAAAAGCAAATTTAAATCCATATACATCCTTTTGGGGGGGGGTAAAAGCTTGCAAATTAGTGAGTATAAATAAAAACACAGTGCATTTAGAGGGTGAAACTCTTTGATGATAATTTTTTTCTTTTATCTCTCAATTTTTAATACTTAAAATTATCTTCCCTTTAATTGGTTTTATTGTTTATGGAAAATATGCATGCAAATTTAAAACAATCTAAAAAAGAAAACAAAAATTAATTCAAATTTAATAGCATCAGAAACCATTTTAACACCGTGTTGAACTTCCTTCCAGATATCTTACTAAGCATAGATTGATGTGCTGTGCAAGTCAATATCATTTTATGATTTTGTGTAATTATAGAATCAGAAATATTACATGCTTATCTTTTATTCCTCAGTAGTATATTATTTCCTACCATTATTTAAATTAACTTTTACTGCTAAATCAGCACAAAATAGATAGTGACATATAACCACCTAGGAATGAGCAGTGAGGATTTGATGTACAAATGTCTATTGGTTAGTAATGATTTTACTCCTTAAATAGGCATATAGTTAATCATTTGCTTCATACATGCAAATGTTTTCTTGTTCTTTCTTGTAGATCCACCTCCTGAAATTTAACGTTTCACGATGAAGTTTTTACCGGCGATTGCCTTTTTTATTTTAATTTCCTTGTGGGTTGAAGAAGCCTATTCTAAAGAGAAGTCTTCAAAGAAGGGGAAGGGGAAAAAGAAGCAGTATCTATGCCCATCGTACGTTCTTCATGCCTTATATTCTCATATGGAGAGATGTTATTGCTTTTTTTTTTTTTAACCAAGTAAGGTTGCTTATTGAAACACACATCAGCAGAACCTTTCATATCAGAATATGCACTAATTTGCCAATGTCCCCTCTCTTTCCTTAACTCCCACCTTAGTGGTCTTGTCCAAATCTATGACTGTAAATATCATTTATTTACTGTTGACTCATAAACCTATGTCTGGCCCAGACTTTCTGAAGAGCATCACACCCATACAGTTAACATTTGAACCTGACTCTCTCTTAATGACCTCAAACTCAACTCAAACCCTGTTATCTCCTTTGGGAAGCTTTTCCTAATTCTGATAGTCTGATTGAGATAAACACAATCTGTGCCTCTATAGTACCCTAACTGCCTATCATATTTATAATACTGTATTATAAATACAGTTTCCCCTCTAGATTGAAAGCTCTTTGAGAGCAGGGTCTTATTGACTCAATCACTAAAGAGCAGCATAACACACATACACACACAAAATAAAAATTTGTTTAAAGAGTGAATAACAACCTAAAGATCATTGACTTTTATAAGTCATTAAATCTGGATTGGTGAAGGCACTTGAAAATAATTTATATGATCCCTATGGACAATATTTAGAAATATGGTCCCAATATTAAAACTAGATGAGTTAACAACTGGGTAATTAGTAGAACATCTTCAACCTGGTTGATGTTTCCTGGTGACATTTTGGCCTTATTGTGTTCAACATTTTATCAATGACTAAAATAAGACCATACATAGGAAACACTAATCCAGACTGAAGATAGTATGCATACCCATATATTGAGAAATGAATTTTCTGAATCATAGGGTACAAGTATATTAAACTCTAGGAGATATGGGTAGTTTTCCAGCTCTCCTCCCCCATCATTCATGTGTGAGAGTTCCAGTTGCTTCACATCCTTGTCAAAACTTGATATTATCAGCAATCATTTGAATTTTAGCTATCTGATATGGGTATAAGATATCACATTGTGATTTTAATTTGTATTTGCCTGATGATTAACGTTTCTGAGCACCTTTTCTTGAGTATATGGGACTTTTAGTAGTAAATCTTTTGCAAAATGCTCACTTTTTAAAGTTGTTTTCCCACCTTTTAAAAAATCTGTCCATTTTTTTATTATTGATATGTAGAAGTTATTTATACATTCATGAGAGAGTTCTTTGTCAGATATATATATATACTACAGCTCTCTTTCCAATTTTTGGTATGCGTTTTAACTTATTTAACAGTGTCTTTTGATGAACTAAAGTACTTATTTTTAATGAAGTCTGAGTCTGATTTGATTTATTAATCTTTTTGAATGCTTTTGTGTTTTATTTAAGAAATAGCTCTCTACTCCAGGGTCATGAAGATAATCTGCTTTTTTTCCCCTTAGATGCTTTATTGTCCTTAGTTTCACATTCAGTTCTGTAATCCATTTCAATTTTTTTGTGTGTGTATGATGTGGGATAGGGTCAGGACTCATTTTTAAAAGCAGCACATTGATTGATAGGCCATTGTGTCTTTCACTGCAGTTGTGTCTTTGTTGTAAACCAGTTGCTTGTTTCTCCATCCTGTCCCACTGGTTTATTACTATGCACCTTGTGTCAATAGCACACTTTCTAATTACTATAGCAGAATGCCTGCATGTCCTCTAGCTTTGTTTTCTAGACATACTGTGGCCATTTTAGGTCCTTTGTGTTTCCTTATGAATTTTAGAATCAGCTATTCTACTTGCATATGTATAGACACAAAATGCTGGGATTTTTATTGACATTGTTTTGTTAACCTAAAATAAGAAGCCAAAGTGAGAGGCACCATTGTTTATTTGAGGTCACAAAAGTGCAACTCAGGGGCATAGATTTAAGCAGAAACCAAAATTGTGTTCTGATTACAGAGGAAAGGACTTTTTGTGAGAAAATGAAAAGAAACAATTGCATGAGTAGAGGAAAGGAATTTCCATTGGTGTTCACACACTGAGTTACTTTTTAGCTATATGTGACTGGTTACTGATTCTATCTTCAGAGAGAATGTCCATAATCAACAGTTCTTGTGGTTGGGATGCCTACTTTCCTGCTAGTTTTACAAATAATTCTTTATACGACAATGTTGCCTTGGCCCAGTGCAAAGGTCACTTCACCTAGTTCAACCATTCCAAAGGTTCATGGAGCAAGACTTGTAAGAACTTCCTTTGGAATGGCTATTCTAGGTCTATTTTAAAATGGCTTCACTTACGTCAACTTTTCATAAAATAGACTCAATTTTGTTTCTAATTTGTATTCAAACATTAAGTTAAACAGTAAACAAGAAAAACAACCACACATGGGAAAAAAGGCAAAGCAAACAAACTCATTAGGAATGAAGATATTTACCATGACATTGGAATAACCACATTTTCATAAATGTGGCTAGCCCTGGGATAATAGTTTTGTGTGTGTGGGTTTTTTTTTTTGGTTTTTTTTTTAAAAAAAACACATATCAAATACAAGCTGGCGGTGCACTGAGTAGAATTCTTTAAGGAATGGGAACTAGGGATTTTTTTAAATTTTTTATTCTTATCCTGTGGCCAATTACTCCATGAACCAGAGGTTGAGCTCCATCGGATGTAAGTGTTTTTGTGTTTTATTTGCTGGTATTTTCCCAGGACCTTAAAAAAAAAAAAAAAAAGCTGGCGGTGGCAGGCACTTGTTAAATAAATATTTGCTGAATGACTCATTGAATATTTATGGAATACTACATGTGTAGTATATTCAGAATTTGTAGTTCTAGTTAAGTATGAATTTTGTGAGGGGGAAATAGTTTCAACTCTTGAAAATTCACATTCAAGGAACCTCTTTTTCCCCCTGAAAAAGAATGCCAACAAAATACAGGTGATAGAAGTTATCAGTCATGTCAATCATTTGGTAAGTACTGAATATGATATCATCATACCTTTGCAAATAGATTTTAAAATTAGTCACATTTGTTTCTGGGTGCCTTTAAGGTTCTGATTTGTTTTAAAATATGGTGCAGTGTATTTTATTTTCTAGGTGTTCATGTAAGAACTCTTACGTTTTGGCAGCTATACAAGAAACTTGTTCTGGATTGTTAGCTTGACACTTTTAAGGAGGACAGGGAAACTGTCTGACTCAATTTTCCACGGGGGCATATGATCCTGCCTCTAGTGCCATCTCCCTCTATTCCATTTCCTCCCTAGAGTGAATGAGCGAGCTCTCCTGCTTCTAAGGCTGGTTTTTTTCACCCATCATTTAGATCTCATTGACTCCTATTTTGGGGGTAGGGGAGAATCTGGAATTGGGATTAACTTTTTCTCACTCAACTGCATCTTTTATAATCCACTCAAGTTTTACATTATGGACTTCAGTATAGAAAAATGCAATATGTCTCTGAAACCCACCTGTCTGTAGCCATTCTTTTTTCCTTGCTAGAGTTTTCATGTTAAGGGGGTAAAATTTTATTTTATTAATATTTAAAGTTTAAGTATTTTGGAGCTGTATCCAATGCCAATTTGTCCTGCTGGTGTTTACTTATCTCTTCGTGTGCCAGATTCTCCTTAGGAGAAAGCCAAGAAATTAAGTTTTGTTTCCAAACAATAGCTTTGTAAATAGTTCAAGGAAACAGCCCTCCCCGCCCCCCCCGCCCCCCCGCAAAAAAAAGCAGCAAACTAATTTAACTGTGTTTTTTTTCTAAATGAAATTGAGCTATAACTTCACTTAAAACTCACTGTATGTATACATACAGTATGACTTTTCTTTTGCAAGTGTTGCGACTGCATGTTGTTTTTTAAATTTAAACATTTTATGGTGGTATGAATACTTGACATGAGATCTGCCCTCTTCACAGACTTTTTTTATTAGATATTACAGTGTTGTTTTCTGTAGGTACAATATTGTACAGAAAATCTCTAGAACTTATTCATCTTTGCATCAGTGAAATTTTACTTGTTAATTAGCAATTCCCCATAGCCTCCTCACTCCATCAGCCACCATTGTATTCTCTGCTTCTCTGAGTTGGACTATTTTAGGCTCTTCATATAAGTAGGATATGCAATATGTGTGCTTCTGTGACTGATGTATTTTACTTAGCATAAGGCCCTCAGGGTTTATCCATTATGTTGCATATGGCAAGATTTCCCTTTTTAAGGGTAAATACAACTCCATTGTATGCATATACCATTTTTTTTTTTTAAAAAAGCCAGTTATCTGTCAATGGACTTGTAGGCTGTTTCCACATGTGAGTGGCTATTATTAATCTTATGACCATGGCCGGTGCAGATACAGGGAGAACTGGGTTTTACAGTCCAATTATTATGCACTGAGGGGGCGGGGTGGTGCTATGGTGAACTCTGCTTATTCCAATAACAGCTTGGTTCTCTGTAGTCCCCAGAGGACTGGCATATACTGGGCCCCATTGTTGCTCTGGGACAGGGGAAATAGAACCCAGTATCTAGGGTAGCAGCTAGGAAAGCTGGGATGTTACATGTGGGGTAAGACCTTTTCCTGCTCAGGGAGAAGCTGGGAGCTCTGGATGTTATCAGGTTATGCTGCTCTGGGGTGCAGTTTATGTGTCCCCACTTTCCCTCCTAGTTTCATTGCAGCTAGTTGGGTGTAGAAGCCTCTTCCTGGACTTCTGACAAAGGGAATGGTGTGTCCATGGGGGAAAGGAGGGTCCAGGCTTCCTATTCCATCTTGTTAAAGTTGCTCCCAGTCAAACTTTTCAATAGGTGTACTCCTTCATTCAATTTCCTTTCCTACTGTTCTCTGTTCTATCCACGCCCATCTATCTGGGTTCAATCTCTTTCTCGGCTGAAAACAGCTCTCCTTTTTGCTAAACCCCACACAGAGAGTTTTCAGTCCTTATCACAACCTCACTATGACATTTGGTCCTGTTAACCAACCCTCCCATAGAATATCCTTTTTCCTGGAGTTCTGTTGACACTCACATATGGATTTCCTCCTTCCTCTTAGGCA